GTTTTATATTGTTGTGACTGACAGCAAATCTGAGCTTTGTAACGACAAAAGTAACAAACACAACTTACTATCCAGGAGACCGTACATCACCTGTGTATATCGCCACTGAGCCTGGAGGGATGATAAAACATTTGAATTCCTGCACAAACACATGTACTTATGCAGCAAATCAAAGGAATTTCATGGAAGAGTTTAAGACGGTTGTGAGATTTCCGTGTGTGCTGATTGAAAGATTGTTGAAAAATGACAAAAACCAATCTAGACATTACTTAAGAGACTAGAACTTCATTTCAGCTCTTGCTTTGCTGGGGCTCAACTTTTCTCCTTTGGCTATGTTAAGTTGACTTCTGAAACAATCCAGAGGTGTGTGATTATATTTGGTCTTTTTTTGTGAATTTCTGAGTGATAGCCTTCTTGGTAATAACAATAACTCAGCTTCATGGAATTCTAGTGAGATACTTAAATGGGTGGTTTTCATTTCTCTCAAACTTGGTGATTTCCAAGATCCATGCCTCTCATGGCTCTCTGGTGTTACAAAACAACCCAAGTTCTTGAGTGATCTTCACCTCAGACGGAAAAGAAAAGTTGAAAACATACCTGAGATAGATGGGAATGAATGCTTTGGATGTAGTCGAGCACCATAATGAAGTATACCAGAATAATTGAAACTGTGAGCATTATTCATAACCCTTACTGGTTCCCACCATCTGAGACCTCCATATTTTTACTCACCATCCTCCAGACCTGAGAGAAAAATTTGAAGTCAAAGGGAAACTGATTGCATTTTCACATAACCATGTAACCTTGGCTTCTTCTTCATGAAACTGTAGTTTGCGCATCTAACTGAGGTCACACTGACACCTTTCATCATTTGCCTGTCTACAATAAACTCTGATTATGATGCAGTTATTGTGTTGGCAAATAATAATCCCATTCCCTAGAGCTTTCATTGATATTTCCCAAACATGACTAAGTTGCCATTTAATTTGACTTTCTCAGCTACTGAAACTGCAAAAGGAACTGAATGCCAGGAGTTTGTCTTTCTGTATCATCTTAAAAATGTTAGAACCCTCTAACATAGACCAATTAGATGACTTTGTTATTTAATGTTGCTCTGCTTAATTTACAGCATGGTGAATAAATTGCTAAGATTTTTGTTTAAGCTACAGACCCAGTGTGAAGAATTGATTACTTGCAGAGTCTGGGATTAGTTATTCAAAAAGTCGGTCAATTTTGAGGGCCTTTAAAGATTTTAATTTCACTGTGTTCGGAATGCAAAGGTAGAAAGGCTTGTTTGGTTCGGCTCTCTGTCTCCAATGCCATGCAAGAGTGGAGGGGTTAATTGCAAGGTTTTCAGTGGTCTCCAAGGACAGTCTAGGGGTCAGTAAGAAGCAGTTTTAGGGTCACAGTTTAGTTGAACAGAAAGAGGGGATGCCTCCATCTTTCAAACACAGATTTTTAGCTGCCCTGCAGGGAAGAAGTCAAGAGCATTTGGCTAACACTGTGCAGTCTGGACTCACGATGGGTCTAGAGGAGCTGACCAAGTGGGAAGGGGAGTTTCTGGATTTTGTTGGACTGAACCTGTGTGGGGGAGGTGGTATCACTCAGAAGAAGCCTGAGAACATTAACATTTAAGCACATTGAATGAGTGGGCATTGAAAAATCCCATAAGCAGTAATTGCTTCAAACAACGGAGAAGGTTAGACCTCAGGAGGAAACCAGGCATCTGTTGCAGCTAGCTGCAGGTGAAAAGCTGGAGTTGTTCCTGTGAATTAGGAGTGGAGTGTAGCTTCAGAGTCAAGAGGAATGTGAACCCAGGACAGAAGGACGATCGATCAATGACAGGAGCAGTCGTTGTATCAGTCCATGACAGAAAGGATCAGCAAAAGTAAAAAAAAAAGTATGATTCCTTGTGACATTTAATGATATTCAATAACCCACTACGTCATTCACATCTGTGTGGAATTGCTGAGATATCTACAGGATCTGTCCTGTAAACATTTTCTGTGATATGGGCTGTGATGTGTTTGCTCACCTACTACAGTAAAGTGTTGTGTTTGTTCAAAACCATGGAGTCTTGTGGATTTATTCTGTCACCAAGCGCACTGTTTACAAATGACGGTTACTGGTCTTGAATGTTTAATAAAGAATTTCTGAGGCTGGATGCTGACTTTGAGCTTCCAGTTGCCTCCCACTTCAACACGCCACTGTGTTCCCTGGCCAGCATTTCAAACTCAGGCTTGCTGTAGTATTCCAGTGAACCTCAGCGCAAATTCGAAGAACAATCTCTCACTTTTGGCTTTGACACCTTGTAGTCTCTAGGACTTAACCTTAATGTCTGATTCCATCCTTCCATGGTGTTTTTCCCAACCCACAACCAGTCCTGTTATGACATGAGTTGCTTTTAGCACGGTTCCCCATTCTCACATACTCCTAGGCCCATTATCTCATTGTATGCATTTAGCACAGCTAACCCATTTTCTCACTATTAGCTCTAATCATTCAGCTTTTCTTATGCCCTAGCCTGTTATTCACTATCTCCTTGTTTACCTACGCTGTTTGTAATTCTCTCTCTCTCTCTGTCTGAGCTCTGTCTCCACATATCTGTACTCTTCACATCTTTCCCCACATTAGCTTTGGAATATATGCCTCTTTTTCTCAGCTACTAACAATACTGATGAAGTATGACTAGACTGAAAATGTTAACTCGGCTTTCTTCATACACATGCTGCCATACCTCCTGAGTCTCTCCAGCAATTTCTGTTTTTGTTGTTGGTCCCTAATCAGATTGTAATATAATTTGGTGATCTCTTCATGCGTAACATAATGTTGGTGGTTAGCTCTGGCATAACATGTGAATTTCTTCAAGTGTAACAAATTACATCGACATACATGAATAAATATTGAATACAGGCAAACCTTACTTTTTAAATTTAAAGAATCCCTTCCCGTCAACAGAACAATATTATGGCCACCAGCGTAATTACATTTCTCATGATTTAACAGGTTGCTAAACTTTTAAGTTAATTTTAATTCGAGAGAAATACCAATTAACTAGAGAAAACAGGTCACCTTTTACTGTTAAAGAGGGGAAAAGAAAGAATAGATGAATTACATCACTTCTTGTGTTTGCTTTCACATGTCATGCACCTATAAACTCCTTTGCATTCATGTATCCACAGCCAGGATAACAGGAGTCAGGACTAGTGTGGTTTGTATTGCAGTGGAAGCTTAGAAACCAGCCATGGTTGAACCCTCAAGTGCACTGAGCTGGCCATAACTTCCAATCTGGCAAGAATCATAGAGTCATAGAACTATACAGTCATACAGCACGGAAACGGATCCTTTGGTCCAACCAGTCCCCCCATGCCGACCAAGTTTCCCATACTAAATCAGTTCCACCTGCCTGCGATTGTTCCATATCCCTCTAAACATTTCAAATGGCTTGATTTCACACTGTAGGGATTCTATGATTCTATTATTCACGTATTTCTGCAAATGTCTTTTAAAGGTTGTAACTGTACTCACATTCATCACTTCCTCTGGAGGTTCATTCCACACACAAGCCACTCCTTATATAATAATCCTTCATCTCTTTTTATAATCTTTTCCCTCTCATGTTAAAAATATGCCCCTTTGTCTTGAAGTCCTCCACCTGAGGTAAACAACACCTGCTGTTCACCTTATCCATAGCCTCATGATTTTATAAACTTCTATAAGGTCACCCATCAACCTCCTATGCTGCAGTGAAAAAAATGTCCCAACCTATCCAGGGTGTCCTGCTAACCCAATCCTTCCATTCTCAGCCCATCCTGGTAAATCTCTTCTGAACCCTCTCCAACTCAATAATATCATTCCTACAAACAGAGCGAGCAGAACTGCACACAGTACTCCAGAAGAGGTCTCACCAACATCCTATGCAACCTAGTCTAAACTTTGATACTGGAAGGTCTGAGTATGATCTCTAGTTATCCTCATCTAAATTTAAAATTCTAGTCTTTGACCCACTATTCTCTCTCTCAACCTAATGTATAATTCAATCATATTATGGCCACTGCTGCTTCAGGTTGTCCCACCTATGAACTCATTAACCAATCCTAATTTGTCATACATTACCTTGTTTGGTTTAGCCTGGTCTTTGGTTGAATCCAGAATGTGTAATTAAAATTAGCACCGTAGTAACATGGGTAGTTCAAGTGAAAAGATACCATTAGCACTGGAATAACATGGTTAACTCTCAACTCACTGTAAGGTATCATTAGTGCTGGAAGTAACACAGTCAGCTCAAGTACCAATGTCAGATATCACTAGGACTGGGGTAACACAGTTAACTCTAGTGTCCAGGTAGGTTGCCACTAGTACCAGAGTAATACATTCATGCGAATGCACGATGCAACTTGTACTGGAGTAATACTGTTAATGTTACTGCCAAAGTAAGGTATAACTATGCAGTAACATCGTGAACTCTACTGCAAATGTATGATACCACTAATACTGGTAGGACATGCTCACTTGTGATAGTGGAGGAACGGGACATCACAGATGAGTCAAGAGCAGAGCCAGGATGACAACTAATGGGGAATCTGTCTCCAGCAATCCTGTCTGAATAGAGACAGCATCATCACAATACTGACAGATTCTTATTTATATTTGTGAAAAATTGTTTCATTGTAGGTGTTCTGTCAAATTGATCAATAACGCGTTCAAGCATTTTCTTCTCTGAAATATTAGATGAACTAAAAAAGAATTTGAATTTATTTGTTCAATCACTGTGGCTACTGTCACTAATGGTGTAACCTGTCTAATTCACTTGAAGTTTGATGTGTGAATAAATAGAGAATTCCCTGCCCAAGTATCAGCCATGCACTATCGTCAATGAATATTTCTCTGTGTTTACTGTGCAGAAAGACATGAAGACTTGGGAACTTAGGGAAGTTAGTGGCGATATCTTGGGGACAGTCCACATCACAGTAGAGTAGGTGTTGGAAGTAGTAGAATGTATGAAGGTGGATGACTCTGCTGGTCCTGATCAGGTGTGTCCAAGACCCCTGCAAGAGGCTAGGGAAGAAATTGCGGAACCACTGGCTGATATATTTATATTATCGTTTGCCACAGGTGAGGTCCTGGAAGACTGGAGGGTAATGAATGTTGTGCCCTTACTCAAGAAGGGCCGCAAAGAAAAACTACTCATGTTACTACGGTACTAATTTTAATTACACATTGTGGATTCAACCATAGAAGAGGCTAAACCAGACGATGTATTGTACAACAAATTAGGATTAGTTAATGAATTCATAGGCAGGGCCTGAAGCAGCAGAGGCCATAATGTGATTGAATTAGACATTAGGTTGTGGGTCAAAGACTAGAATTTTAAATTTAAATGCGGATAACTAGAAATCATATTCAGATATTCCAGTATCAAAGTTTAGACTAGGTTGTATAGACCAGTCAGCTTAACATCTGTCGTCGGCAAGTTACTTGAGTAGATTCTGAGGGAAAAGATATATATGCATTTAGAAAGACAGGGTTTGATTAGAAGTAGTCAGCATGGCTCTGTGCGTGGGAGATCATGCCTCACAAATTTGATGGTGTATTTGTATATTTGATGAAGTGACCAGGAAGGTTGACGAGAGTAGGGCGGTAGACATGGTCTATATGGATTTCAGTAAGGCCTTTGGTAAGGTTCCACATGGTAGGCTGCTCTGGAAGGTTGGATCGCATGGAATCCAGGGAGAGCTGGCAAATTGGATACACATTTGGCTTTATGGTAGGAAGCAGAGAGTAACAGTAGAAGGATGCTTGTTGGACTGGAGAGCTGTGACTAGCGGTGTGCCTCAGGGATCGGTGCTGGGAACATTGCTGTTTGTTATCTATAATCAATGATTTGAATGAGAATGTACAAGACATGATTAGTATGTTTGTGGATGGCGCTAAAATAGGCAGCATCGTGGACAGTGAAGAAGGTTATCAGAAATTACAGCAGGATCTTGATCAGCTGGGGAAGTGGGCCGAGAAATGGCAAATGGAGTTTAATATAGATAAGTGTGAGGTGTTGCATTTTGGAAAGTCAAATCAAGGTAAGAATTTCATGGTGAATGGTGAGGCCTTAAGGAGTGTATTGAAACAGAGGGATCTTTCTGTGCAGTTGCACGCTTCTCTGAAAGTGGAGTCACAGGTAGATAAGGCAGTGAACATAAGAACATAAGAACTAGGAGCAGGAGTAGGCCATCTGGCCCCTTGGGCCTGCCCCGCCATTTAATAAGATCATGGCTGATCTTTTTGAGACTCAGCTCCACTTACCCGCCCACTCACCATAACTCTTAATTCCTTTACTGTTCAAAAATTTATCTAGCCTTGCCTTAAAAACATTCAGCAAGGTAGCTTCAACCGCTTCACTGGGCCGGGAATTCCACAGATTCACAACCCTTTGGGTGAAGACGTTCCTCCTGACCTCAGTCCTACATCTGCTTCCCTTTATTTTGAGGCGATGCCCTCTAGTCCTAGTTTCACCTGCTAGTGGAAACAACCTCCCTGCCTCCACCTTATCTATTTCCTTCATAATCTTATATGTTTCTATAAGATCTCCCCTCATTCTTCTGAATTCCAATGAGTATAATCCCAGTCTACTCAGTCTCTCCTCATAATCCAACGCTTTCAACTCTGGAATCACCGAGTGAATCTCCTCTGCACCCCCTCCAGTGCTGGTATATCTCTTCTCAAGTAAGGAGACCAAAACTGCACACAGTACTCCAGGTGTGGCCTCACCAGGTCCCTATACAGCTGCAGCATAGTCTCCCTGTGTTTAAACTCCATCCCTCTAGCAATGGCAGACAAAATTCCATTTGCCTTTTTAATTACCTGCTGCACCTGCAATCCTACTTTTAGCGATTCATGCACAAGAACACCCAAGTCCCCCTGCAGAGCAGCGTGCTACAATTTCTTATCATTTAAAACATAGCCCATTTTGCTGTTATTCCTACCAAAATGGATGACCTCACATTATCAACATTGTACTCCATCTGCCAGACCTTTTCCCACTCACTTAGACTGTCTATATCCCTCTGCAGACTTTCAGTGTCTTCTGCACACTTTGCTCTACCACTCATCTTAGTGTCATCTGCAAATTTTGACACACCACACTTAGTCCCCAACTCCAAATCATCTAAGTAAATTCTAAACAATTGCGGTCCCAACACTGATCCCTGAGGCACACCACTAGCCACTGACCACCAACCAGAAAAACACCCATTTACCCCTACTCTTTGCTTTCTACTCGTCAACCAATCCTCTATCCATGCCAATACATTACCTGTAATACCATGCAACTTTATCTTACGTAGCAGCCTTTGGTGTGGCACCTTGTCAAATGCCTTCTGGAAATCCAGATACACCACATCCACAGGTTCCCCATTGTCCACCATGCAAGTAATGTCCTCAAAGAATACCACCAAATTAGTTAAACATGACCTACCCTTCATGAACCCATGCTGGGTGTTCCCAATGGGGCAATTCTTATGTGAAGAAGGCGCTTGGCACACTGGCCTCCATCAGTCAGAGCATTAAGCTCAGAAGTTGGAGAGTTATGTTGCAGTTGTACAGGATGTTGGTGAGGCCGCATGTGGAGTATTGTGTTCGGTTTTCGTCACCTTGCTATAGGAAGGATGTGATTAAACTGGAAGGAGTGCAGAAGAAATTTACAACAATGTTGCCAGGACTCGAGGGACTGAGTTATAGGGAGAAGTTGGACAGGCTAGGGCTTTTTTCTTTAGAGTGTAGGAGACTGAGCGGGGATCTTATAGAAGAGTATAAGATCATGAGAGGCATAGATAGGGTGAATGTATTCAGTCTTTTCCCCAGTGCTGGGGAATTGAGGACTGGAGAGCATCGGATTAAGGTGAGAGGGGAAAGAATAAATGGGAACCTGAGGGGCAACATTTTTACACAGAGGATGGTATGCATATGGAATGAGCTGCCAGTGGAAGTGGTTGAGGTGGGTACATTAACAACATTTGAAAGGCATTTGGATGAATACATGGATAGGAAAGGTTTAGAAGGATATGGGCCTAGTGCATGGAACTGGGGTTAGTGTGGATGGACATTTTGTTTGGCATGGACCCATTTGGGCTGAAGGGCCTGTCTCTGTGCTGTAAGACTCTATGTCTCTCATCAAACACTTTCAGCTTGGACACAATTCAGAACGGACCAACAAATAATTCTGCTTGTAAAAGGGAGTTACTACCCAATTCTCAGTTATTGATGAGTTGTTGTAATCTGTTTGTTGTGAATCATTACAAGTATTCTCCCTGTCCTACCTGCTTGTTCAATAATGTGATACGTTTTCTTTTTGACTGTGTCACAGCTTTGATAGATGTTGCAACCAACTCATGAGCCTCTTGCTCTCGTTTTCCATGTTTCTTTAATCTGATAATCTAAGTGTTGTTATAATGTGCAAGTTTGTGTGCAAGGATTTTAGTTTAGTTCAGTGAAAGCTGGGTGTTTTGGACCATCCTGTCATTTACTTCCAACATAGGGCAGTAATATAAATGTGTGGCTAGATTTCCCACGTGATGGCTTCAAAAACAATTTTATCTCACATTGCTATATTGATATTTGCATGGAATTGGATAAAATGGTCTCAACCCGTTTCTCCATATATATTTAAATTAGATCCATAAGAACATAATGGAAAGGAACATGTATATGCCATCCTGCCCTTTGAGACTGTTCAGCCATTCAAAATGATCATGACAGATCTTGGGATTCAACTCCCCTTTCTTACATGTTACCTATTTCCCTGGGGTTGCCTGAGAAACCAAAGATTTACCTCTCTCAGCCAATGTTAGAACATCCACAAAGTTGCGGAATAAAAACTTGCATAGATTGTCAATCCTTCAATGAAGAATTTTTCATCCGCTTGCTAAATTATTGCTCCCGTAACTGAGAATGTGTTCATATATTCTTGATTGTCAGTGGGAATACCTCTCAGTATTTATCTATCAAGCCCCTTTGTAAGTTTGAATGTTTCATTCCTATTTTACTTCTCATTCTTCTAACCTACAGGGGCTAGATGCCAAGTTAACTCCTCCTTTCCAGTATCCAAAGTATTTCACATTTGCTAACTTTCTGTGTTTCATGTACAGGTCTCTCTGAAAACTTACAAGTTTCATGCCTTTAAAGCAAATATTCAAAATATCTGTTGTTATCACTAAAATGAATAACCGCAAATTTCACTGCTTAAAACCTCAACTGCAAGATTGTTGTCTAACCAATTAACTTGTCATAGTGTCGATGCAGCTTCTCTAAGTTCTACTTGCAGCTTACATTTCCACCCAGTTTAGTATTGTCAACTGACTCTCTGACTGCTTTTAAAGTAGTCTATAAGTCGCAGAGGCCAAGGCACTGATTCTTGTAGCAAACAACTGGTTATGGCCTACCAACGTAAAAATGCTCCATTTATTCTTGATTTCCCTTCCCCACATGGGGAAATTTGATTTCAGTCAATATTTGGAATTAAAGAAAGCTAACCTGATAGTGATCCTGTCCATACCCAACCCTCTATACATGTTAATAATAATACATGTTACCCTCAACTCAGTAAGCCCTAATTTTACATCCTTTAGGTTCAACAGATGATAGGAATTTGTTTAATTTCCTTACTCTTAAAAGGCACTAGGCTACTCCTTATTTTTGGTATAAAACATTTACAGTAAAAACAGATGAAAAATGTTTGTTCAATCTCTGTGCCACTTGATCATATCCATAATAAATTGCATTGTATTTTTTTTTACAAAGGGACTGATGTATACTTTAGCTGCTCTCTCCCTCTTGATATCTATTTGAAGGCCAAGACGATCAGCTATTATATTCATGGCCAGTTTACTCTCATTTACCATTTTTATAATTTTATAAAAATTATTAAATTGGCCTCTACTCAATCCTCCATTGAGCTTAATTCATTGCAACATGAAGAGAACCTCATGCTACACTTAGTGGTGGTGATGATATACTGGCAATATAATTAGATTTGAAATCCATAACCTCTGGATCCTGTTCTGAAGATATGAGTCATAATCCCACCATGGCAGGTGGGGAAATTTGAATTCAATAATCATTTT